GCTACACGTATTCGCCTCAAGCCCGCGCCCGAGGTGGAGTCGACGTACATGGTCCACTGTGTGAAGGCAAAGATCCAGGATAAGGAGTGCAGTAACAGAGCATCAAGGTCCGTCACTTCTTCATACGTGCTGCGGCCACTGACATGCTCTGTAGGTTCACTTTGCACTGCTGCTGTGCGCGTCCCTCTCAAGCCTGCGCCCGAGATCGAGTCTTCTGGCGCGATAGACAACGTCAAGGCGAAGATCCTGCACAATGAATGTCGTATAGACCATCTAGGTGCGTAGCATCGTCGTCGTATACACTGCGCTCTCGCTGACATGCACCGTAGGGGCCACTTACGTTGTCGTTGTGCACATCCTCGTGAATCCCACGCCCGACATAGACTCCTCGAACGCGATCGACCACATGACGGCGAAGAGTCAAGACAATGACAGTGTCCTGGGAAGGATATTGGTGCATTGCATCGCCGTCGTACGACTTGCTTCCAAGCTAACCTATTCCCTAGATTACCTCTACGCTGTTGCTATGCACATCCTCAGCAAGCCCGCGCCCCGACGTCGTGTTGTAGGACACCGCCGACAGAGTAAAGGCGAAAACTCGGGACAAGAGGTATGATATTACAAAGCGTTAGGTGCGCTTCATCGTCAGAATACGGACTGCTCCTACACTGACGTGCTTCCTAGGTCTCCTTTGCATGGCCGCTGTGCACGGCATCCTTAAGCCCGCGCCCGAGGCTGAGTCTTCGGAAACGGAGTTGTGGTCGCTTGGATAGTCGATAGTCATGCAATTCGGGTCTCCTGGATAATCACCGTTGCTATGTAAAGTGATTATCCAGTCAATTGCTATGACTATCTGATTATCCATTTCAGACATGCAATTTGTTTGCTTAAATACATACCGACTATGTCAGCTTGTCATGACTCAGGGCACAGGTGCAAGTGTATCGGTAGGTGCAATACCTACTACTAGTACGCCACAAGCAAGAACGAATCCGCTGGGCTTTTTTTGTATGCCACTGTAAGAGTTGAGTGCATAACCCAAACCCTAACCCCTAACCCTAACCCTGAACCCTAACCTCTAACCTAACCTCTAACCCTAACCTCTAACCCTAACCCCCTAACCTTAACAGTGTTACAACCTATTGCAATACCTACACCACCCACAGTGGCTACTGGAGCTAGAGTGCGCTACGCTTACTCTAGCTCCAGTAGCCTCTGTGGGTTACCAATAGTCTATATATACTTTTGAAGGGCTTCATATTTATTTCAACTACCACTATGAATATTTTATAGTATTTTACTTGAGTAGTGGGGGCAGTAGCAATATAGTTTGCCCATACAAAGTGAGAGAGGTGTGGGTATATGGTCAGAGTACACATTATTTACTGTATGGTTGAATAGCTGAGCTGGTATAAGGTCTAAATAGTGCATGAGGTTGTGGGTTCAATTTCTGGTTGTGCCAGTTTTTTGCCTTCCTTTTCATTTTCTTTCATTTATTACAAGGCTCTACAGTCCTTATTTGATGTCTTTCACCATTGTATACACTAATTGAAGTACAGAACAGTATATCCTTAAAGTTCTACACCTGTACGACTTCAAAAGATACAAACAGCAGAAAAGATAGTCACTTTAAGTAGCAACGGTGATTATCCGCTAGACCCAAATTGTAGGAGATAGTCATGACTATCCAAGCGACCACTATAGGGAAACGATTGTAAACACGACAGCGAAAGTTCAGGATAAAAAGTGTGGGAAGGATGCTTTCAGGTGCACTGGATCGTCATCACACACGCTATTCCTTTGCTCACATTATCCGTAGGGCGCGCTTAGGCCGCCGCCGCACACATCCTTGTCCAGACCGCGCCCGAGGTCAAGTTCTCGGACACAATCGGGAATGCCAAGGACATCCAGGAATGGAATGTGGTAAATGCGAAAGTACAGTGATCTCACGGAGGTCAGTCATGTCGTCCCCATCTATGGCAAAGTGGAGGAGTTTCTATTGATCTGTCCTGCCG